CAAAGATGCACCACGCGTCGGGAGGCCTATCGTCGAAAACTGCGATAAAATCATGGAAACGTCTGGTGAGCACTTATTTAATTTCTGAGGAACTAAAGATAAGCCAGAAAACCATTTGGAACCATTTGCATAACCTTTGATTCAAAAAGAAACTCAATGTTTGGCTGTAACATGAACTAACGCAAAAAAACATGAAGGACCGAATTTCCATCTGCAAATCGCTGCTGAATCGCAACGCAAAATTAACCCGTTTCTGAAGCAGATTGCGACTGGCGTTGAAAAATGGGTCACTTACGATAACATCGAGCACAAACGGTCGTGGTCAAAGTTCAGGGAAGCGGCCCAGACGGTGGCCAAGACCGTGCTGACTGTCAGGAAGGCTTTGCTGTGTGGGGCTTTGGGATTTGCAAGGAATCATCTACTATGAGCTGCTCCCCTATGGCCAAATGCTAAATTCGGCCGTCTACTGTCAACAAATATACCGCTTGAAGGCAGCACTCATCCAGAAAAGGTCCTCTTTGATCAACAGAGGCCGAATTGTGTTCCATTAGGACAACGCCAGGCCACAGACGTCTTTGACGATGCGCCAGAAGCTCAGGGAGCTTGGATGGGAAATTCTAGTGCACCCACCTATTAGACCGATCTGGCACCAAGTGATTTTCTAGATCTTTTTTTGTCCATGGTGAATGCGCTTAAGGATGAGAAGTTGGCTTCAAAAGAGGCCGGGGAAAATTGGCTCTCCAAGTTTTTTGCCAATAGAGACGCAGCCTGCTACATAGAGGGGTATAAGGAAGTTGGAATCTCTTTGCCAACAAGTTTGCGAACAAAACGGCGCATATTTGACTTAAATCGGACAAATATGCGCAAAGTTATCATATTTTGAAAAATTAATAAAAAAAAACAGAACCAACTTTTTCCTTGTCCTGATATTAAAAGCTCTGTGGACGACCCAATATTTATTAATGTTTTGAATAGGTATGGAAAGAAAAGTAGCATTTTTTTTTAATCTAAGTAGAAATCAAGTAAATCGAACAATAAATATTTTTATTTCGAATAGGTCAGAACCTGAGCAACTTTCCCGAGAGCAGAGTAGTTTTCCTGCTCGTCTAAGCAAAAATTCGCCCACTGATGTACCAAATTTCAAGTCAATCCGTCCACTTCCCGAACATTTTTTTCCGTAAAGGCCTTCCCAGGAATCATAGAATAAATCTAACGAAATTTTAAATCCAACGGTTGGTGACTAGATTACTAGATTTTTCCAAAAGGACATAAGGTTTTTATTGATAAGATAATATTCTAAGGAAATGTAAAGAAATGAATTTTTATGTACAAAAAAGTATTTTTATTAAAGAAAATGGCATCTCCAAAGAGTAAGTACTCCTTGTCCTCAGTGAAATCTTGGAACCATTCTTCAAATTTCTTCAAAAGACGCCGACAGATTACTCCCAAAATGGTTTTTGTCCAGTAAAAAAGCCAGTGATTGCAAAATATTTATCAGGGCAGTATTTTTACCTTTACAACTACATGTGACCCAGCATTGTCATATGGCAACATCACCTTGTCGAACCCTTAGGTTGTTTCCGATCGTTTTTCACGTTTTACACAGCTGAAAGTTTCGCTTGTGAATCACAACTGTTGACACCTTCAGACCACGTCCTTTATGACTTATCGCTCGGCGCAAATTCACAGTAAACTTCAACAAGCGTTCGACCTAACTCAAGTCCGTAAATTTTCGATGAGGAAAAAACCAATTTTCTTGTGAGAAACAGACGCTGATGCACACGAATGGCTAATGACTTCTGCCCAATTAAGCAGGTTATTGCTTCCAAGATCAGCCACAACTTGCCGGGGGAACCATCTTTTGAGAATGGACCGAATCGATTTGGACTGCCAATGCATTATCTCTAGTCAAAAGTAGTCTATTATATTTTTTGCAATATAAAGATTTAGTGATCTGTAAGTGCGGTTTTATTCGGTAGAAGGCGTTACAAAGATAATATTTTGTTCGAGATAAAGGGAGGGGTGCTGATCACTTAACACCGTAGTGTTTGAGCACATGTGACAGAAGGATACTAGTAAAGAGAAAATACACTACGAGGTGTGTTCAGAAAATATCGCGAATTTTGTGTTTTTTCAAAAATTATTTATTTATTCATGAATATCTATTTTGCCCCCTTCAAACTAATCCCCATGAGATATTTTACACTTGTGCCAATGGTTTTTCCAATCTTCGAAGCACTTCAAATAATCAATTTTTTTATCTTGTTCAGCTCCTCCTTCGATGCCGTCCTTATGTCGTCAATCGTAGCGCAACGTCGTCCTTTCATGTGCCTCTTCACCTTAGGGAACAAGAAAAAGTCACTGGGGGCCTGATCGGGGGAATACGGTGGCTGCGGCATCATTAGTGTGTTGTTTTTAGCCAAAAAGTCGGGCGCAAGCAACGATGTGTGAGCAGGGGCGTTATCGTGGTGCAAAAGCCAATTTTTGTTCTTCCACAAATCCGGGCGTTTCTGGCGGATTGCTTCGCACAAATTGCGCATAACTTGCAGGTAATATTCCTTATTGACCGTTCTACCCTGTGGCAAGAACTCATGATGCACCACGCCCGTGCAATTAATTTTTTCGTCTGTTGTTTAAGTGCTCGAGCGTCCGGCACGCTCTTCATCGTTCTCATCTTCTCGGCCTTCTGAGAACATTTTGTACCACCGATAAACGTTGCTTCGGTCCACGGTACCTTCTCCGTATGCCACAGTCAACATCCGGAATGCATCCAAACGCATACAAACACACCTCGTTCATACATATGGTGTGTAGAGTGCTTTTGGTAATGATACACAATTTTGGTTTCGTCGATTTCGTTACGGAAAATGTTGATGTAAAAGATGTCTGCACTGTGCAGAAGACCAATAATCGCAAATGTCGATCATGTTGTTGTTCATGGATGCACAAAAAGGATGAATGTATGGGTGTCACATGAGTTAGCAAGAGAAGATCTCATAGCCAAAAAAAACATCAGAACAATGCTAGAGCACACAGAAAACCTTGGTTAAAAGGCTCATATCATATCCACGTTATAATATGGACTTCGCACCAAGTGATTACCGCTTATACTCTTTACTGCGAATGATTTGGCAGGTGAAGAAGTGAACTCAAGGCGGTGCATGGGAAAATTGATTGTCCCAATTTTTCGCCCATAGACACTAGGCATGATATAATAAACATCACCCTCATATTGAAAAAAAACGTTACATATTTGACATAAATCGTGTAATTCCTAATCTGGTAAATTCAGCATTCAATTTAATGCGAAAATAATGGTTTACTTTTAAGTAGAACCAGGACATCTATTTTATTATTCTTTCAGTACCAAATTAAAAAAAAAAATTTAAAAAATAATGGACAATTTGGAGAAAGCCACAACATCGTGTATCTTGGTCTGCTGCTTTTATAAAAAAAATTTTTAATTTTATTTTAATATATTGAAGTGAGTATTTTTCTTTATTTCAGATTTTTAGAATGTGATCAAATTAAATTTCGGCCACAAAGAGAACAAAATAAAAATTTGTTTTCAGAAAAGCACTCGAGAAATGCAAAAAAAAAAATACTTTGGTTAATAAAATTGCAATTTTTTGATTTTTCATTTCTTATTTTTTATTTATTTCCTTCAATTACAAGGTTTTGCTCTCATAATTTTGGAAAGAAAAAAATAAAAATTGCCACCTTCTTCAACAATCAGCAATTTATCATTTGTTTCCTTGCCCTTATATACATATATACAATCTCTATTGGAAAGATGATATGTTTTCAAGGTATCATTTTGGTCTTTATATATATGTCATGACATCTGTCTTTTTTTTTGATTGCATTCAGTTTTTTTTACAATTTCATCGTGGCATGATGAACGCAAGAACAACGTTAACAAACAACAACAACAACTTGAAAACGATGATAATTTGTTTAAGAAAATCATCTTATCCGATTAGGCTCATCTTCACCTGGGTGGTGCGGTAAATAAACAAAACTGTCGATTCTGGTGCCAAGAAAATCCACAAATTATCCATGAGCAACCCTTAAATTCACCTAAACTGACAGTTTGATGTGGTTATCGGTTTGTACTTCTTTCGAAATGAAGTGCGAAAGTAACGGTGATACCAGTTGCTGTCAATGGGTAGCGGTTTGGATCGATAATAACCAGCTTTTTATGGTCACTTTTGAAAGAAGTTGATCTTAATAACATCTGGTTCTGGCAAGACGTGACTACGTGCCACAAACCACGTGCAACAACCGAGTTATTGTGAGAAAGGTTTGGAGATTAGATTATTTCAAGAAATTGTGACATCGAATGACTTCTGAGTAGTTGTGATTAAACACCATTGGACTAATTCTTTTGGGGTCATTTGAAGTAATTGATCTATGGCAATAAACCGGACTCCCGTCAAGCTTAAAAAGTCAGCATTGAACATGCCTATGCCTATACCTATGACTTGATTTAGTGGGAAAGGTGCTCAAAAATTGGGTCCATCGAAGTCGTTCCTCCATGTTTTTTTTAACGACGATTAATAATGTTATATTCAGAACTTCAGAACTTAATTGTACCGATTTTAATTCATATAAAATACAAAACGATATTCAAATATTGACAATTAGTATTTTTTTTTTTTTTTTTTTTTTTTTTTTTGTAGGAAATCATTTCACTTTTAATAGAAAACCCTCTATACATACGTGTAAGTAACTATGTAAACTCAAGGCAAAAGCAGAGACAGAAAAAATCCTTTGGTTTGTGTATAGTACATAGTATATATACTCATTTACATATATACATATTTGTTTACATATATTGCACATTTATTTGTGTGTGTGTGTGTGTGTAACTAATGTTTGTGCAATACATTACTATGACTTGGCACTAATTTATTTCCATCTTCTGCTTTTTCTTCCTTCCATTTTTTTCACCCCCGTCAAACCCATCTACACTCCGTGGCACGGCTTGCTACATTTAGCTGCGAAATCATGCAACCATAAAACAATGTCATGCAACAAACTAACTACGACGACACCAAAGCAGGTAACAAATGCAGTTTTTAAATTAAAAACAACAACAACAACAATTGCTGTTACGAGATACTAATGCAACAAGAAGCGGCGAGAGGTTAGTGGAAGTAGCGGCGAACCAAATTTTAATAGAATTTCGTATTGCAAAGCAAAGTAAGGGAAGCAGAGAGCAGGCAAGCACCTCAAGTGGTGCACCGAGCACCCGGCAGTGAAGTGTTGTCGCGCAAATCTACCTGCAACACACCACACAGCGGAAACAGACGATATAACAGGAAGTGTGAGATAAACAGGAAGTGCTGAAATAGCACGAAAAAGGAAAGTCACAAAACTAAATCTGTTAAAAAAAAAAAAAAAAAACAAAAAACGAAAAAAAATATTTTACCAAAAATTCAACGGAAATGTTTACAAAAATGCAAAAATACTACATTTCAGTATTTGCAATCGCTGCAGTAGTATTGGTGTTTGCCGATGCAAATGGATTCGCCGAATCAGCAGAGTTGCGACGCACGGCAGCGGAAGTGGCAACGGCAAGGACAACGACAACGACGGCGAGGTCGTCCGTGGCGTTAGTGGGTGCGGCGGCAGCTGCAAGTGAGGAAGCGGCTGAGGGAGGGCAGGCGGAACAAGCTCAGTTAGAGGCAAAGAAAGTGCAGAGCATACCGGCGGGTAAGGAGTACTCCGGTGTTGAGGCAAAAACCGCGCAGCTAGAAAAACCTACGACAGCAGTCAACCAAGGACTAAGTACTACCACAATAGCAACAACAAAAAATACAACAACAACAGCAACAGCAGCAGCAGTAGCAACGACAAGAGCAGCAGCAGTAGTAACAGCAAAAACCATGACATTAGCATCCTCAAATGCGCCCGCTACATTAACGACAACAAACGATGTGGACGAACGAGTTTTGAGCACCGCAGCAACACCAGCAGTCGGAGCAGCAATAAATGATGAGCAAGCGAAGCCACAGAAGCAGGCACAAGCCGAACGGGTTGAAGTTGTAGGTAGTAGTTTTATAAAAGCTGATGCGGGAGAGCGACCAACAATAGCAACAAAATCGCTATCAACAACCAAAATTAATGCTGCAGTCCAAATGGAAAGCAGAGTCACACCCCAAGTCGCCTCAACACACGCTGGTGGGAGCTCAGCAGCAACGAAAATAACGGAAGCGCCAACAGTGAATTTTGAAAGTAAATCACGTGCGGATACAGAGCCACTAAAAACAGACTATGGCACCATAGCAGTGGCAAAGCAGCAGGAGGCGAGCCGCGGAAATGTAGCAAAAACACAAATCATCAAAAATGAAAAAGAGTTGTGTACAAAGCGCTTGAACGAGCGGGCGGATGCGCATATAAATGAACAGAGAGGCGGCGGGGAGACGAAGTTGGAAGCACCAAAAACAACCGATACAGGAGCTATAGAGGCTCATAGTGAGGGTGAAAGTGATCAGGAAGAAAAGAGAATGGCTTTGAGCAATGAAAAGCGTTTGAATTCTCAAAACAAGGAGGAGAGGGAACAAAAAAGTGAGGGAGCTGTTGAGAAAAATAATGACTCAACTCAAGCGAAGAAGAAACCCCAAATGGATGACACTCCGACATGGCCAAAAGAGGCGTTGGAAACCACAAATAAGCTGGCATCGAAGGAAGCAGAGACAATGACCAGACCCGAGCCAGCTGAGACTGTGACTTCACATGCAAAGTTTAGCGTAAATGGAGCAACTAACGTAAATTTGCCCATGCCAAATGCAACAATAGCCAAAACAAGCAGCGAGCACCGCAAACCTGCAGCAACTGCAACCACACAAGCAACCCCGAGTAGTGACATGAATATCGAGCGGAAACTAAAGAATGGTCCATACCGCATTAAATTAGCTGAAATCGCAACGGTTGAATACAATGGCAGTGGTAGTGGCGAGGAGAAAGATCTGCTCGAAGCGAAGCCGAGCGCAACTAACAGCGAAACACGCGTTGGAACAACAACTGTCGATAGCGTGCTGGAGACAAGCCAACTGAATAGGAAAGAAGGTCACGCGGTTGGTGGGTTGGAGGCTCTAACATCGAATACACAACAAAAAAAGCAACAAACAGGCATTCAGCAAGAACTGGGCCAACAGGCACAACAAACTGCTGCAACAAAACTGCAAAAACAACAACAAGAGCTGAAAAAACAACAACAAGCAAAACTAGTTAAACAAAAAGCCCAACAGGCGAGTGGCGAACAAGAACTCGAACAACACAAACAACCAAAACCAGCAATCCAATTAAGCCGCGAGCAGCAGCAGCAGCAGCAGCAATATCAAGCATCGAACAAAGACATGGATATCGGACAGGTGCAACAACAACAACAACAGAAACACTACGCGTACACCGCAAGCGAGCTGGATAACAAGAATCAGAAAAGCAACAGCAACAACAAGAGCCAACAATCAGATGACCACGATACATACACAAATCCCGCAAACACTAAGCAAGCCTCAGCCCAACCCACGCCACCCGCACTCAATATCGTCGATCTATATCCCATGAAAATGGAGGATTTCAATCCAATTATACGTGACTCCAATGCGAAGTTGTTAAAGGAGCGTACAATCTATAAGCCGACGGCCAGTGATGAGGCGGCAGAAGAGCAGGATCAGAGGCTCGAGCATGCAGAAGATGGGTATGGGGGGGTGGATAGTGCGACGAGTGACGGGTTGATGAAGTCTTCAGTCGGACACCAACAGAATTTATTGCCAAATGAAGTGAATACCGCGGACAGCATTATACGACGACATTACGACAACATCAATAATCTCGCGGCTGCACAGCAGCACAGTGTCAATCGAAGGCCAATCATGCCGGTAACGGAGGAGGGTGCGAGTAGCGCAGAGTCGACAACTAACAGTCACCAACAGCGAAAACAACAGAAACTGTGGAAGCCTGATGCTATCAGTGATTTCACCGGTAAGCTGCTGGCCGAACAGGATGGTGTGATTACGGAAATCGAGCAAAAGTTTCGCTTGAATGAATTTCCAGCAACCGAACAGCCCACAATAACAACAACAGCAAAAGATATTAAGCAAGTGGAGGCACCACAAGCGAGCGCAGTCAACAAGCTGAGCCATAGTGTCAACCACAAAATTCAACCGAGCAAAAGTTTGAAATCTAAATACAACAAGGAAAGCGTAACCCATCTACCACCCACACAAAAACATGACTTCATTGAGCGACGCGTCAAGAAAAGTTTCGACTTTCCCATGCATCGTACGGCAAGCGCCAGCGATACACTCGGCATGCCACATGTCGATTTTGCGAACACAAAGTTCAACACCGGTAGCGGAGCAACACAAAGTTTAAGCCCAACCACACTGAGCGATAGAGGCGGTGCGTTGGGTGTGCGAACTGCACTTGGCACGCATCCGGAATTTTCGACGACCAAATTCTACAACAGCAAAGAGCTCTACAACGAGATGATGTCACACAATCGACAGCGCTTGAAGGCGAAGGCAAAGATGGAGCAGGGAACAGCATCGGCAGTGGCAGCGGCAGCGAGAACTCTAGCTGTCACCGGAGTCGAAACGACAATGGCTGCGACAAACACAGCGAGTAATGGCGTAGCGAGTGCGGCAAGTAGATTTGCGTTCAGCCAAAATTCAAAGTTGGAAACTTCAAAGCAAGCGCCGACAAAGGCAGCAGTGCGACAAGCAATTATGGGTGAAATGAACATGAACTCGCAGCGAATAGCCAGAGTTAACAGCGGTGGCGCTAGCATGCGTACGGTTGAGCTGAAAGGGGATGAGGTTTCACTAACAAACGCAAGAGCCGAGGAAGGGCAGAGCCATTTGACTGCAAAGTCTAATGTAGAGGGCGGCATAAGCAACTTTGTCGGGGTGGAGCGTCAGGACAGTGCGAGTGTGCAACATGGATATCAACACACTAACGTGCAACTCTCAAAGCAGTCAACTGCAACAATAACCAACAACCAAACGTCGACAGCCGAAACACCCAGCAACACAGCAATTCTGGGCGCCAAAACCACTAAGAAATACCATAAAGAATTGCAACGCGCTAAATTGCTGCTCAAATCGCTTTTGTTGCCAACGACAAACGATAATGTCGGCGCTGGTGCGAACAAGTCGAGCGATGCTGGGGCAACGATGAGCACAACAAAAACAACCACAACACTCAAACCAAATAGCAACAGCCAGACCAACCTGCACGCACCGCCCACCGTTAGAGGCGAGCTCGACAAAAATGCGTCTGCACCGAGCAGAGTTGACTTGGTTGCAAGTGCCAAAACTTTTGACATTATGTCGCTGCGAGCGAGTAAAAGCAGGCAAGTAGCGACGCCCACAATCGCTACGAGCGCAGCTGTTGGTAATATTGACAGCACCATTGACAGCGACATGACGGCGGCGGGCACAGAAGCGGAGGGATTGCAAGTGAAACTTGGTAATTCTGCTGGCAGTGACCTGGTGCATGTTAAGCGTGCTAAACCACCACAAACTACAGCAACAACAAGCAAACTAGAAAAAACAACAACGAGAACAACAAGCAGTGCAGAAACTAGCATTTCCACGAAAAACCCCACACCCGCAACATCCACAGTAACCAACCCAACAGTTGACCCCACAACCAACATACCCCTAATATATCCATATCCACAAATGCCTCGTCAAGTGACAATGCTCATAACCCAACCGCATGACACCACAGCCACAGTGAGTAGTGCCAAGAGCAGCAGCAGCAGCAGTGGCTCAGCCCACACCAGCTACACCACCTCCACTGCGGCTAGTCCAACTACTGGTAGCACAAACCTCTTGACCAAGTCCGCCTCGAAGCCAATTGTCCGGCCACGCATACTCAGCCCGTTGCAGGAGAAAATCAACTCACTCGAATGTGAAGTGCAAAATGTGCCGAGCGATTCGCATTTGTGGCGAGGCAATGAGACGCACGAACTTCTGCTGCCGATTGTGGTGAGTATGAGCGCAACACAATTGCCTTTATGAGACTTTCGGATTGTATTGTATATGATTTTTATTTCATTATATTTATTTTATTATATCTATTGCATAAACATATATATGTGCGAGGATATCCGCCTAAGCCTCAGGGAATTCATATTATATTCGGAATCACAAGCACACATACGTGTATGCACATACAATGCGTTTAGCTCTAAATTGTATACTTTCAGTAAGATTACACATAACTATGTATACCATATTAATAATGTAATAGTATAATATGTATGTATATATGTATGTTATTGTATGTTTGTTCAAATAGATCTTTATTGGCTTTTGTTACAAATTCATATTACTATATTATTTATCAGCTTACATATATGCATACATACATAGGTATGCCTTATCATATCACAGGGTATGTTAATATTTATGGCAGAGGTAATTCCCTGGCTTTAAATCTCGTTTAGCCTTGATTGTGAAGCATTTGTTGGGTCACTTTGATGAGGATATCCATAAAAGAAGAGATAAAAGGCAACGATAGCAAAAATGTGTTTGTAAGCGAAAGTATTATCTCATATCCATTGTGAAATTGGCTATCACTTCTAATGAGATTGACTCCATACATGTTCTAATATATTTGACATATACTTGTACATACCCTGTAGGAAAAATTGCCAGTTGCACAGTACTACTTTCCTCTTTGAGACTAAATTGTTCCTCTTCCTTTTGAAGTCTAAACTACTGATATTCTTACACACCAAAGTCTTAGGAGATACCGATTATCCCACCATGAACCAGCTCAATACTAGTTAAATACCAGTTTACTTATAAAAGCTGGAAACCGCAAATTTCATGCATAATACTGACAATCTCGGAACACTAGGGAAACAGATATTAAGTCAAGTTAAAGTCACTCACTTTGTGTGCATTGAACTGAAGGCTTTATTCACCGTAATAAGAATCATACGATTTGTGTAAAATATGAAATTCTTTAGCCCCTTTCAAACCCTTGCTCCCATTGGCAACAAATTTGCAGAATCAACTTTTATATGCCTCCCTTGAGGTCAATTCTACACACCACAAATTATTCGTCATAGAAAGGAACAGATAATATTCACTAGGTACGAGGTCCGGGATATAAGATGGATGCAAAAGAATCACCCAACCAAAGCTCTCGGAGCTTCTGCCGAGTCATTACTTATCTTGCAATGTCCTGATGCTATGCAATTTCCCTCCGCTTTTGAGCGGTTACTTCCCTGAAAGAGAGGGGAGAGTTTGGGGGTAAGGCAGCTGCTCATATCGATAATTCCTTGCTTTTCTGGAAGGCATTAAAATTTTATTAGAAAAAGTGAGGGGTTCAGGTTCTCAGCCAAGGGTTGAAGGCATTTATAAAAGTTATTTTTTGTTAATTTAATTTTTCTCATTTTTAGTGCAATCGCTAGGCTTTACAAATTAAAAGAAAATATCCAAGAGGAAACTTCATATATGTATATACAGGATGTTTTTTAAGACTTGTGGTTTCCACTGAGGGATTGTTTTTTTTTGTTTACTTGACTTATACTGAGCTTGATTGACCATTTCACAATGAGCAGACTTTCGAAAATCTTGCAAATCTACCAGGAAATAATGGTTCGGCTCGCACACATTACGCGCTACATCCAATACTCGGTATCGTCCAGCATAGTCGGCCATACGAGAAACCATGAATCGTGCAACCTCGGTGATGCCATAAATTGCACAATGCTGCAGTGGTAGTAGAGTGCCGAAGAACACCCGAATGTGTCTATCCACCAACACCTTTAAATGTTCAAAAGATCACTATTTCATGTGCTCTATGGACAGAAGGGATCACTAGTCTATTTTTCTGCAGAAATGAAGGCCGCTTTAATATTACAGTCAAGGGGAGCCGCTATAGAGCCATGATTAACGAAGGATGCTAATTAGGAAGACCTTTGGTTTCAACAAGTGGCACGATGGGCGATGCAGCAAAGGAAACAAGCAACAACTGAACTATTTTTTGTAGTGAAATATGATGTCGGTTGTCCATGCTAACATAGCGTTCCAATTTATACAACTAATGGCTAAGATTTAAACCGCTTGGCTGGAATTTATACAAGCCAGTCGCGGCGTCCAAGCGCTATCTTTATAACAGAGCTAAATTATTAGTCGTGGCATAAAATTGTATGCGTTTTATTTCTTCTTGAAAACCCAATGTCTAGAGAAAACACCCTTTACATACATACATGCAAAGTAATTAGAAAATTTTGAACTAAATTTAAATACAATTTATGGAAGAGAATATTTCGATGAATAAGTGTATAAAATTGTCCATAACTATCCGATAGCAAAAGTAAATCAACAGCAGCTGCTACTTTTGCCGCACTGCTGCTTTGCTGCTGCTTCTCTGCTGTTGCTGCTGCTTTGCTGCTGTTGCTGCCGCTGCCACTTTAACCCTTCTAGATACTCAACACAACAATTTGCATCATCAAAAGGGTGGAGGTCAACATAAGATTGCTGTTAATTAAAAAGCATTCAACGCTTCAGCAATCAAACAAACTGTCCGTAGCAACAAAAACAACAAGAATACAAACATAGTACAGATAGCAAGCTACAACAAAAAAAAACAGAGAATATAAATACAAATGCAGATACCAATATAAAAACAAATGTATATACACATTTATACATAGCAAACGCAGACGCAGTTGATAATTGCGTGTGTGTGTGTGTGTGTGTGCGTACGTTTATGTGTGTGTTTGTGTAGTAGTGAAATTGAAATACTAAAAGAGGTCAGTGCAATCGAGAGTATATTTATTGTTGTTGCTGCTGCTTGTTAAGGAAACTTTATGAACTATCAAAAGTGAAGTGAAAGAGAAATTTTAAAATTTTTTTCATTAAATTTTTTCACAAAACAAAAAGCAGAAAATGAAATATGAGTAATAATAGAGAAGTAACTAGTTTGATATTCACTTTGTTCAAGGACCTTGGCGTATATGTATGTACGAACGTGTATGTAGAAGGGTCAAAGCTTATGAATATGAAAATGCTTGATTTTCACAAATGGGTGGAAGCATATATGCATATATGTATGTATGTATAATGCATGGATTATGCTCTCATCAATTGGCGCTCGTCGCAACCATTAAATGAAAAATAAATAAAAACGCAATATTCAAATAATAAAAATAATAATATCCCCATGCTGGGATTATTGAAGTGAAGTGCAATTACTCGATTTACACCAAAATAAACACAATATAAATTCGTGCAGCTGGTCATTGTGCACGCACAGATCGAAAGATTTTCATACTCGTATGCTCGTATATATATATTTGTACATGTGTGTGTGAGATTTTTCATGAAAACACGCATTGAGAAGTACTTAACCGAAGAAAGATAAGCGCAAGGATTGCGGTCACGTCTGATTATGCCCAGTAAGAATTGGGAGATGAAAAGTAAAATGAAAGAAAAGTGTGCTTAGCAAAGTTTAAAAAAAGTGTTATGCAATTACTTTCGTAATTATTGATTTATTAGGTGTACAACTTTGCTTCGGCCGTTTCTTTCAAAATTAAAAGCTTTATTGCGAAAAAGTGCTTACAGATTATTATTCAAAGTATTGTCCTTCGCCTGCGACAACTTTCTCCTATCTTTCCGGCAATTTTCGGATCCCGGCTCGAAAAAAGGAGTCCTCTTTTGACGCTATCCATGAAGCAATCCATTTTTCCAATTATTCGAAGGATTGAAAATGTTGATCTGCCGTGTGCCATTGAACGGAATAGGTGGAAGTCAGAAGGGGCGACATCTGAGGAATACGTCGGGTAGGGCAAGACTTCCCATTTTAGCGTTTCCAGGTACTTTTTCACCACATTTGCGAAGTGAGGCTGAGCATTGTCGTGTTGGAGGATGACTTTGTCATGTCGCTCTTGATATTTTGGCCGCTTTTCTTTTAGCGCGCGACTAAGGCGCATCAGTTGCGTTCGGTAGCGATCTCCTGTGATGGTTTCACCCGGTTTTAAGAGCTCGTAGTAAATCTTTGAAGGTTTCTTCTCTTCCATCACCATGTTTGTCGTCGACATCGAAATCACCACATTTAAAACGCTGAAACCATTCCCGACACGTTCTTTCCCTCAGAGCAGCATCACCGTAAGTTTCTGAGAGCATTCGATGCGCTTTAGCTGCATTTTTTTCGAATTGAAAGTTGTACACCTGATATCATTCAGGGATAAGGTGAAAATTGGGTTACATAGTTATCCCATTAATAAGTAAAACATGAAGGTTTAATGAATAAAATGCCTCTCGCATATTAACTTATTTTCTTCCAACCACATCTTTATTCTAATCAGCAAGGAAGCTTATTAAAGTTAAAGTTCTCTGGTCTCTATACTTCACTTAAGAGTTCTGTGCTAGGCAAAACCTAAACATTTCGAAGCTTCTCTTAAGCTGATAACAGCACGCTCGTGAGAGTATATTAATAATCCTTTCTTCAAGTGATTTGTTGCCTGTCCTACTTACACTTCCATGCACTTAAGACTCTTGCCGTTGAAATACCTATTGTATATTAGTGGACCAGCAGAAGTCACATTAACCAAGTAGTTAACAGTGCACACTACAACGAGAAAATTGCCCCTCGGCTGCCACTCTTCCAACTGTTGTTCTCTTGAGAAATAGAAGCTTCATTGGCCATTGGAGACGGTTTAGAAAAAGACAATATAAAAGTATTGAAGAAAGAGCTATGCGAAAATAACTTAAACGTTTATAAAGCTTGGATTATATATACTCGTATATATTTATATTTATACTTGGAGTAAAGTGGAGAGTTATTAGTTGGCAACATACTGCTGAAGACCGTAACGAGGTAACGAGAAACCGGCAGATATCCCCACTATCTGAACCAAGCAGCACATCCACATGGCTTTCGGTACGGTTCTGTTAGCACTAAATCTCTCAATAGCTTTTATGCAACGTAGGCCTTAATCGAACATTGAAAACTATTCATTACCCGCGGA